AAAAAACGTCAAATAATCCAAATGTAATCAAAGTGGACAGATACTCAACACTGAAAAAAAGTAAGGCATATTTCCATATTCATTTTACCGTTTGTTCTGTCATTAGAGCTATCTTTTGGCTGGCTCGACGAGCTTTCTGTACGAAAAAAGAGCAAAACATGATAAGGATAAAGATTTGGCTATTGTCTGAGGAGCACTTGAAATTCACTTCCAAATGACATTTTGCTTGTCAACGATGGAATAATGCAAGACGTAAACCTGCACCAAAAAAGCTCTTCAACCATAAGGAGCAGGAGAGTCAAAATGAACATATTTCTGGTTAGAGCCATTGATATTGCAGTGCTTCTGTTTAAATACTTAACTGATGACGAAAACCGCAAATAGTCAATACTCTGGGCCTTATATTAGTAGCGATACTAGTAATCTCTTTTTCACGCCCAATACTACTTGCGAGCTTTCCGACCGTTCCCCGCATGGAAAGTCGGTCCTGCGAGTCTTATTGTAACCAAAAGAAGGACTTAATAAGATACACAAGGCGATCGAACCTATTGACCGTCCATCAATGAGCTCGAGACGTAATTCATCTGTACGGTGAATTTCGTTCAATACCGATACAGTCAAATAAAACTGTTTCGCTCTCTTCGTTAAACTTTACTGAAACAAGCACCATCATCGCATATGGCCTTCCCATGAGCGTGTTAAAATTTATGCACCAACTGATACAATTTTCAACTGCCCCAAAGTCTAAAATAAAAATCTTCTTGATGGACTTGTATGATTGGCTGTTTTAACTGTCCGATTACAGGTGTCCTTTTACAACTCTACAGAATAGTTAGTGATAAATAAAGCAGCTTATGCAACAATCAGATTTAAGGAAATTGTAAAAGTTATGATTAAAGACAAAAAGTTGTTATTTGTCCCAATTTATCAACTGTGCTCAATTTGACCAGCTGTAATACAAGTCTAATGCTTAGCCATAAGTAAATCAGCTCACTATTAAACGACACTATGGACACGAAAATGTTATTTGCTACCTCGTTTTTGCCTCCTGAAGGATAGCTTCGCCTGCAAGTCGTGCGTTTGTTTAAGCTTATTCAAACGGGAACGAAGAAAACCTGGAATTACAGTGCAAGGTAGGGATCAGTTAGAGGAGAGTGGGAGGCTGTGGATAGATTTCACGTTTTAGTGAGTAAACCGCATCAATGAATTCCTCTTGATGACTCTTATTTAGTTAGATATCCCACGTGTGAGGTTAAATAATAATAATAATATCAAACTCTTTGGGCGTCTCTTCTGACTATATCTGTTACTCGTCCGTTTCGTCATTCGCAGATGATCCTAACAACAAACGAAGACAAAATTTTGATAACCTCTTTGTCTTATACCCATAGTTTTAATGTTCTCTTTATCAATACAAGACAAAATAACATTTCACTTCCTTTCTGTAAAAATTTTACTCACCCCTCCAGACAAAAACTCGACAGATTTCGTAAGAACACCGATGACGTCCATGTGACTATAGAAAGGAAAAACAGGATATGAGATATTGTTCCTTCGTAAGAAGTTGACATCAATCTGTATAGCATGCATATATATATATATATATTTTAAAGACATACAGTGAATTGCCCTCGACCGAAACAACAAAATTATGGACTGGAGACTGAGCATGTTCGCATCCTAAATAGATTTTTCTCCAAACAGTAGGTAGTATTGGTGCTGTATGTGTATGTGATGGCATGGGATGGCATGATTTATTATGATGCTTTCTTGTGCAATAGCAGTCAAAAATCACGATCAAAAAAGCACTTTTAGCTCCCTAGGTCTCTGGTTTTTATTTTTTGGTTATAACTATAACAATAAAACAAACTAACAAGAAATATTGCATTGAAGTTGGTAAAATAGTTTTCTGACTGAATGATTAAGTTGAATAATTTGTATTTAAGATCGTTCTGGACCCGACCATTCATCCATTTTTTTTAAAGCAAAATTTTCCTGCGTAATGTACCCTCAGGGTCTTTTGATATGCGCCCGTAAATTAGGTTGACTCTATTTCCGACATCCTCAACATTTTTTCTTTCAAAATATACGATATTTTCGTATCAGAAGTAGTGCCAATCTAGGTCAATGTTGGGCAATCCTTCCCGCCACCTAAATAATACAGCGCTGCTGGTTCTTTTTCAAATTTCGTCTCGTCAGGGNATTCATCGAACTGTCTCATGTCGCATCTGTTGTAAAGTACTCTGTAATGACTGGTTTTCATGGAGCTACGCTAGCATTTGTAGAGTCAATTACCGGATAAATTTCTTAATATGATAGATTGTCCTGGAGGAGAAATACGAAGTTCTAATGAAGAGATCAAATTTATGATAATTGGGGAGCCTTTTAGTACTCTTAAGGGTTAAGGCAATTAAAGCTTTCTCATTAATCAGATCTAGAAGCCTTGTATAATTTTTCCACATTCACAGTTTATTCGTTCGTAAATTTTATCACGTTCGTATCAATCATGATTACATAGAATGCAGCGTGCCATTCAGCTATGATTTGACAGTCTGACTTTATTGACCGACGCTTTTACTTAAAGCTCGGGTTATCTGGGAAAATTTGAGTTAAGGGAAAGTAGATTTAGTTCGTGTTACCGCAACTCAAATGAAATTCACGACGTTTTGAAATTTTAATCCGATGTTAATAAACAGATTAGTGAATAATCTGTAGTTGCACTGTTTCCCAGAATTAACTGTAGGCGTTTAGCCAATGAGAAGACATGTGGTAGTCACCATCTGTCTTCTCATTGCCTAAACGTCTACAGTTAATGCTGGGAAAAAGTGCAACCTACAGATTATTCACTAATCTGTACCTACAGATAAGAGAACAATCTGTAGGTTGCGCGCACTATACATGATTTACGGTGGAGCAATGTCAAGTTCACGGACAGCAAAGTAAGAATGGCTTCTCGATTCGTTTCATCGACCCTGCGAGAAATTACCAGAAGATAAAGATTCGGAATCGACAAAAGTAGCCAAGGAACTGTTTTACGAATACCTTAAGGATCTTAAAGAAAAAAATATCGAGGAGCCACACGACAAAAAGGAGTTAGCCCAAGTGCTGAAATCTTTTTATGTGGAAGCGCGAAAAAAGGATGAATCGTTTTACTCTGTGTTCGCTGCGATACTGCGTTTGGCGTTATTTTCTTTAAAACAATGTACAATAAAAGAATTATTGGATTCGGTTTTTGTGATATCCGGAATAATCAAGGTTAGTGTACATGTTATCAGCCGAAGCCCCCGGCTTCGGCTAATAACACTTACCTCGATCTTGATTATTCCGGATATCACAAAAACCGAATCCAATAATTGTTTATTATCGTCACTAAGCTTGCATGCCGGTCGCACTTAGGAAAAGTTTTCCTAAATTTCTTTACTTTGCAGTTAAAATCTACTGTCGCGTGAGATCCTTACTTTTTCCATTTGAAAAAAGACCTTTTTGAACAGCATAAACATCGAATTCACGAAAGCGCTGTGGTGATTGGGTAGGACAGCCAGATTTTGGAAAAAATTAAAATAAATCGTGGTAGAACTTCCAACGCTTGACAGTGACCTTTCTCTGTCTGAAACGCGATCAATTTGAAAACATGCGATAACTTTTAGAGCGTCGCGCTTTCGATATGGATATTCGTCAATTTTACCATCCTTCACAATTTGATGTTTTCTCGTTAATTAAAGAGACTTTCTGTAATCGCTATCAGTACAACTCCAGCGTAACGCATTTCTTCTGAGCAATAAATATGCGTAAATCACCGCTTTATTACTGTGGTTTCGTCGCCCAAACTGGAAGGATACACGTGACTATGTTGGGGTAACATATTGGAACATACATGGCAACGGGATTTGTGGTTCAGCCGACGTTGATCTCTAAGGAGCGATTCTGTTTGTTAGTAATTGCAATCTACCAGTAGTTTTTAAACTTTTAGATGTCAGGGTAAGTTAGATTTCCGTTACTCAGTTCATAGCTCGCCTTGCTCAATCACGCGGTGGTAACGCGTAGAATATTTCGTAGTAGTATATTTCAAACATGATCCTCGGAAGTCATTTGAAATCTCTGTGTAATGACCATAGTCTAACTCTTTTTCAACGTTTGTATCCTATTTGTAGGTTGAAACTGGTTGAAGTTATAAGAGGAAGAGATTTGATGGAAAGCTCGCGGTTTGCACTCTTGAGACGCAATTTGATCACTCCAAATTTGATCACGCAATTTGATCACGCAATTTGATCATGCAATTTGATCACGCAATCTGATCACGCAATTTGATCACGCTTTTTGATCACGCAATTTGATCACACTTTCAGGAAAAATGCTTCCTAAAGGTTTGCGAACCGCTTTTGTTACGCTAGTAGTGTTCAAGTTTTAAACCTGCTATTATCCTTGGGCACTATTCAAACCAAGATATCTTTCTATGGGGCGCCAAATGTATTTTTATTATTTAGAGTGGTTATTTGTATATAACCAAAAACAAGTATGGTTATATGTAAATAGCCACAGTGTAGTTTGGTTATTTATATATAACTAAAACGAGACATTGGTTATTTAGAAACATCAGACTGTGAACTTTTTTCTGTATTAAAGTCGACAAGATATGTTGTCATGCTATGTGGGTCTTTCAATCTCAAGCAGTCAAGCTCAACTCCAAACAATTTACTGGAGTAAAGAGCATTTTGTGCTCTTGTTTTCAATTCTTTTAATTTCTTATTTTTTGCTTGAGTTGACTGAAGATATGGAACAGCTGTACCTCTCACTTGGCAAAACTGATCTTTCCCCAGCTGCCTTATGTATTTTTTCATTGCTTCATTTTCCTTTTGGAAAGCTTTATTTTTCTTTTGGCAAGAGTACATAAGTTCTTTTTCCTTAAGCATTTCCTGGAATAGGTCTTGTTTTTCTTTTTCAATGTCCTCATATTTTTTCCTTCATTCCTCAATTTATGGGCTTCTGCTACTTCCAATTTT